TGTGTGTGTGTGTGCTTGTATGTTTGTGTCTGTTTATATTATATATATCCATTAAGATATTTATATGTGAATCCATTCGAGGCTGTTCGCGCGCGATTACACTCGTTTAAGGCTAAAATTTTTTTCACCTCATTTATAACGCTTCAGAAGGAGAGAGCTGGTTGTTTGCTTGGCTAGTCAGCTTAACAACGTCAAGACGACATTTGGGGAGAAAGTGAGGTGTGAGGGCGAGGATATTTCCATAGTAACCGTAGCAGCCACTCCACGCACTTCTAAGCCTACGCATTTTTCTTCGCTGCTTCAATCAGGCTTTCACAGTGTGCTTCAAGTTCGCACATCCTGAATTTGTTGGGGAAAATGGGAAAAAGCAAAATCCACTCATGAATAATACACACAAATATACACAAAATATATACACACATGCATACACATACATACAGGTGTTCGAAACACACACACATATAAGTACATACATATATGCACGAAAGATAGACACACACACACACACACACACACAGACACACACGCATGTACAAAATATATACATACACTTATACGTCAGGCCAAAAAATTCGCTTTTTATTCATCTTGTTTGGCTTTAAGAAGAAAAAAAAAAATTTTGCGTAGCTTTCAACTTAAAACATTTACCTGGGAAAAAGCCAGTTTTCCGAAGTGAATGTAATGGGTCATAAGAGAAGTTAAAATCTTCCGGACAAAAAGCTCATCTAGCTTACAACCATTAGAAAAATATTTCTAGTAAGGCAACTTTGAACCAAAAACATTTCTGGAAAGGCAAGTAAGTAAAAGGTGGAAGTCGGGTTCCTCGTACATATTGGGTAGGTAAAGCAGCGTTGAATACAAAGTTACATCTCAAAAATTTGAAAACCCCACATTTTTCGTCTATGTCATGCTTGCGAAGGCAACATTTTTAGGATCAGAAAAAGGGCGAGTAGGAGGTATATGTGGCAATAAGATTTGGCTTTCGCAGATTTTCGTTCTTTCTGCAGTTTATTTATGAAAAGCATATACTTTCATAAAAATAAATACAAATTTTTTGAGTTTTTTCAGCCTAACCCTTTAGACCAAGTCCAGGGATTCTGTCATTTCAGAATAAATTGCTTTTTTTTTGAATTTCGCTTACAAAAATTGACGACAGAATACTGATTTTTTTGCCTATCTAGCTGCAGGGAATATACCGTACTTACTAATAACTTGCTTTCCAACTTTATGAAAAGTGGTTTGGGAAGGATGAAGGGAAAAGAAAGTTGAGTAATTGTATGCGTTGTTGAGGATACAAATGTTTGCTAATTGGGTCCTGAGGTGATCACAGCGACAAATGTAATTAGCAATGTCTTGACGAGAAGGTGCGCAAGGCAAAAAGTAATATCTTGGAAATGGTGAAATAATTATGCGCTTCAGAAGCGAGTTTGAAATATTCAGTTTTCAAATGTTATCAAGTAAATTTTTGTACTTAACTGCAAGGAATGGCTGCAATAAAATGTCACTTTGCTGAAGAATTGAGGGTGGATTGAGGGTGAGGAAGTGAGGGAAGCGTTAAAAACTCTCTAGGGCGAAAAGAAGAAGTACAGCGATGAATAATATCAAGGTTGAAATAAGTGGGGAAAAAGAAAGACTACCGAAATTGATAATGCCAGTTGACGAAAATCTGGAAAAGCCAACAGTGCCAGGGTACCAGGGAGTGTCGGGAACTAATCCAACAATTGGTCGTTGGAAGATCCCTTCATCAGCAACTAACATTTCATAACTGGACGGTGTCAAGGTAAAGCACGGGTGTCGAATACAGCGAATGGCTGTGACAATTACAACAGGAAGATGCAGAATCTAGCTAGTGACTGTGCCGAAACTCGTCGATTGTCGGATACTCGGACAATCGTCGAGACTCCCGTAGATGATTATCGGAACACAACCCTTCCCATGCACAGTAGTTTAGACCTTCTTTGCACGGTTGACGAGACACAACCATCCCGTATCGAGTCAGTCGGGAGAAATGAATTTGAGAGGAGAGAGGAAAGAGGCGAAATCCATACCTTTCCCTCTTTTTTAGCATCCCTCGAACGCTCTCTTGGAATGTTACATTACAGAATTAAAACAACAGACTGATAAACACAAAAATTGCCGGCCGGCGGTGAAGATGGAGATCCGTTGGCCGATGATCAGCAACATTATTTTCATAAATTTCTTTCTTCTTTCCTAAATTTCTAACTTCTTCTTTCGTGACAGTGTTTTTCTTAAATTTCTAACTTCTTCCTTTGTGACAGTGTGCACGTGTGTGTTGATGCCAGTGTGTAAAAACTGAAGAAACTGATAAGTGCGGGAAAATCGTCAACTTTTATATACCATTGGGTATATGTATGTCGAAAGACTGATGGAACTAATAATCCGGTAATGAAGATGTACCAATGGTACCTTCCATACGGCAGGGCCCGACTCTGTCAGTGAGGCTGCTAGTCCCTCTACGATCCGTTCATTCGCTTTGTAGTTAAATTAGCACTAGTATTTGTCAGGCCTTCAGCTTGCAGTACTTGAAAGAATTAGCCATTGACAGGTTGTCAGCTTGTGGTTGTTGTTTGGCACATGCTACCACCTGGATTACTTCTGAATGCCCGTGCCTGTCCGTAGAGATTGAACACGGAGGACGTTTTTATATATGTGTGGGTGTGAATGTTTAAAGACTGATTTTCTCTCCTGCATTTCTTCAGGGCTATTTGCTTGTGTTAAAGCTGACGTCACACTTATTTTTAATGCAATAAGATTTAAGATTTTTGTTTTTTTGCCATTTATTTTTTCCGGAACCGCTTATTGAATAATAAATACATAAATCAAATTAACACGCACAAGTCATATGTTACATACGCGTGTATGAATGAGAATATATATATGTATATATATATATATATATATATATATATATATATATATACCAAGAATACCGAGACCACCTGGACTATCACTGTGGATATCCCATGTTAGTGATGTTACTGAGAGATGCTCCTACACGGCGATGCATCTTTGCGATGCCTTTCAAACTTGGGCTGTATACTATCAGTTAATACTCGACGCCTGTTTATTACTGTATGCACTCCACCCTTCATGGGTTGCCCAAGTGGTCGTTTACTTTCTTACGGGTCCCACTCACTAATGCACGTCGTCCATCGGTTATCGTCAAGGCGAGTAACATGCCTTGCCAACTGAATTTTACTATTTAATCATTATGACATCCTGTGCTACGCTCATCTGACGGAGAGTCTGATTGTTTAAATGATTTCCGATCACTATACTAAAAGCATTTGCATGATTGTACGTTCATCTGACGGAGAGTCCGACTGTGAGCAGAATGAGGGAAGTGGGATCCAGCTGGGTGCGATTCAGAGCTAGCCGATAATTTAGTATCAGTTAGAAGAAAACATTTATTTTAGGGCACAAAGAAATCCTACTACAAAGACGCTGTGTAATGAAAATGTATGGGCTGTGCAAAAAAATTTTTCTTGGAAAAAAAGCCTGCTACTTTTTGTATGAATATTTTGAGAAATCTGGAAAATTCCTAAAAAATTCCTAAAAAAAAACAATAATGAAAGTGCACAGATGTTCTCTTTCAAACCTTATTTTGGGCGTCATAACTCGGAAATCGGGTGTATTGTTCCACAAACTTAATAAAGACAAAGAGACATTCCTGAAGTAAATACATATTAGTGAGATCTTAATATTTTGAGATTTCGAGGGATTTGTCCTGCTGATTTATTGGGTTTTATCATTTAGTACTTTTGAAAGTCACTTTAAAATGTTATTTTAATATTTGAAGCAGAATTTTAGGTTTTTAAATTTTTAAAAGGAAAATATTTTTCGCTGAGTTACAAGGGTCGTTTGTCAAAATAGACTTTAAATAAATCATGAAATTTAAAATGGAATTTAAGTAAAAATTTGGTAATAAATCCACTTCCAAGTTTTATCATTTGATACTTTTGAAGGTCACTTTAAAATGCTGTATTGACATTTGAAGTAGAATTTTAGTTTTTTAAATTTCTAAAAGGAAACAGCTGCCGGCTAAGTAGCAAAGATCGTTTTTCAAAATAGTGTTTAAGTAAATTACAAAATTTAAAATGGAATTTAAATAGAAATTCAGTTATAAATTCTTGCCCAAATTCCATTTTTCTTATATTTCAGGTCAACCAGGCCCAGCCGGTTATGGTCATGTGGTTGATCCGAACGTGCCCTACTACTACGGGAATATGGACCCGAACGTACAGGTGCGGCCGCCACCGGGTCCAGTGGGTTGGCCAGCACCGCAAGGTTACCCGGCACCAGTTGCTAGCCCTCAGACGGTCTATCATCCCGGAATGCGACCAGGAACTCCGATGCGACCGCCAATGCCACCGCAGATGATGCAGGTTGGTGCGCCCATATTCACATAAGAAGAAGAGTTTGACAACTGATGGTTGATTGCAGTGATTACGTGTGGTAATAATCTGATAGATCTTCTTTACTTGAAGTAGATCTGGTGGGCATATTTGACGTATTAGCAGAAAATAGCACTATTTTTGTTTTTTCAATAGGACGAAGGTTCGATTTCGTCGTTGGGAAATCCTGTCCCCCATCTGACTCTTTCATCTGTTCCGATGGTAAACTGGTACTGATATATGTCGGAATGTTAAAGCCGGCATCAGGTTTCATCTCCGGTAATCCTCGAAAAAAAAGAGTAATCTTCGAAAGTAATTTTCAAGTCTTACCGGCGAGTGGTTGCTGTTGGCAGTTGCTACCACTTGGACTACTGCGTATTGTATGCCTCCACCACTCACAGGAAAAAAATATGGAAGAGATTTTGACTTTTGACTATTTGAATGTGGATTTACTTCATACATATCCTCCAGCAATGAAAGGGAGTCATTTTATGGGCACAAAAAGTGAATTGTCAAATTCATTACGGAAGCAGAAATTTTTATGAAGGAGATGGAGTTTGACAAGTTTAAATTTGGCTAAGTCTATTTTGAAGGGAATCAACAGTTTTTGAAAAAAATCGAGTCGAAAATGGGGGGGGGG